TTAAATTGAGATCATCAACATATATTGCAATAATGACAAAATTTGATCCATTTTTCTTTATAAAGACGCATGGGCATATTGGATCATTAGTATAACCTTTTTTTATTAAACATTCGCTCAGACGGTTATACCACATTCGCCCTGATTGTTTAAATCCATACAATGACTTTTTCAATTTGATGGAATATGATTCCCTTGGGTTTAATTTGTATGCTTCAGGCATATTGAATCCCTCAGGAACTTTCATATAAATATCAGTATCCAAGGAGCCATAAAGATATGCAGTAACTACGTCCAAAAGGCGCATATCGAGTTTTTCTCGCACTACTAGGCTCACAAGGTATCTAAATGTTATTCCATCAACAACTGGAGAGTACGTTTCATCAAAATCTACTCCAGACATTCGTGAGAATCCCTGAGCTACAAGACGGGCTTTATATCTCACAATTTCATTATGCTCGTTTCTTTTTCGTACAAACACCCATTTGTATCCAACTGGTTTTATACCATCTGGTGTTTGAACAATTGGTCCGAAGACCTCTCTTTTTTTTAATGAATCAAGCTCTGATTGAATTGCATGCTCCCGTTTTGGCCAGTCATTTCTTTGCCGACATTCATGAACCGATTTTGGCTCTGGATCCTCGTTTTCTTCCATTATATCAAGTGCTAAATTATATGCGAAGGCATTATCAATAATTGCCTCTTTACGGTTCCAACATTTTCTTGAAGTAACATAGTTAATTGAGTTTTCAATAATCTCATCATGTTCTTCAAGATCGTGCTCTTCTGGAGCAATTATTTCAGGGTTGACTTCCTCGTTAGATTGAGGTTTATCAATGTCATTCCTGATATTTTCATGATTTTCATCATTAATTCCTCTTTTCTTTCGAGGGTGTTTATCTTTGGAACCGAGTGGTTTGCCACGCTTTAAGCGTGTCGCTGATTCATTAGCACTTCCAATTTGTCCATCAGGGACAATTATTTTAGCTGGAGCATTGGCAGCTTGGATATATGATCGAGTGACTTTGCTCGAGTCATTGAATGCATCCGGTAACTGATTTGCAATGTTTTGCAAATGTATAATGCGTTGAACTTTTAGTTCACACTGCTTTGTACAAGGATCATAAAAATTCAATGGGATTTTCCAATTAATATCCCTTTTCGGTTCGTTTTTGTCTCCCCCTAATGTCGGAAAATATGATTCGTCAAAATGACAATATGCAAATCTTGCAGTGAATAAATCGCCCGTCATAGGTTCAAGATATTTTATAAATGACGGAGATTCATATCCGACATAAATGCCCAATCTACGTTGAGGACCCATTTTTGTACGTTTGGGAGGTGGAATAGGAACATAAACAGCATACCCAAAAATACGTAGATGAGATATATTTGGTTCGTGACCAAATACTAATTGCATCGGGGAGTAGCTATGATAGCTTGTCGGCCTCATTCTTATGAGTGTTCCTGCGTGTAAGATTGCATGCCCCCAAGCTGAAACGGGTAACATAGACCTCATCAGTAATGGTCTAGAAATCAATTGCAATCTTTCAATAAGTGATTCTGCCAGGCCATTTTGTGTATGAACATGAGCAACTGAGTGCTCTACATTAATTCCAATCGACATGCAATAATCATCAAATGCATTCGATGTATATTCACCAGCATTATCCAGATATATAGTCTTAATTGGATTATCGGGGAATTGTGCCCGTAATTTAATAATTTGGGCAAACAATCTCGCAAATGCCATATCGCAAATGGGACCATCTCGTAGATGCATCAATAAGCACCATAAAATATTTAAATGGCCCACACGGTGGGTCTATTGGTCCACATATATCCCCATGTATTCTTTCCAAAAATATAGGTGATTCAATACCTACTTTAGCTGGCGATGGTCTGGTTATCAATTTTCCTTGAGTGTAGGCAACACATGTTAACTCATTTGAGTTTAGCACTTTTTGACCTTTTAATGAATGGCCATGCGAATTCTCAATTATTAGCTTTATCATTATACTGCTAGGATGCCCAAGGCGATCATGCCATATTTGAAAATCGGTAGTCTTTTGGTCTACCGTGAGGTGTGTTTCAACAACACCTAAACTGGCATAATATAAGCCAGTAGAGAGTGAGAGTAATCTCTCAATGATGCATTTCCTTTTTATCAATGATATTGGTGATCAATAAAAATTCACCATCGGTATCACTCATAGTTTCAATGTGATAACCATTTTTCCGAATGTCCTGAAAGCTCAGTAAATTTCTTCGAGCTTTAGTGGCCAACAGTGCATACTGTATCACAATTTTCGTCCCCGCGGGGAGAAATATAATGGTTTCTCCAGAGCCTTCAATTAATTTCGCACTGCCACTTATTGTATTGACATTCATTCTTTCCCTTTTTAAATGGGAGAAATATTATTCGTGTTTCAATATAGTATATGTCGTTGCACTGTCAATGAAACACATATTTGCATCATTTTGATTGGCATCCATTTAACCTTCAAATATAAATAAGCGCAGTATTAATAAAGACAAATATAAGTATTACAAAATGTATTACAAAAAGGTAGTATGCGATAATTTAAATATTACAAAACATAATGTAAAATGACATAATATGTCTATCACTGGGGGTTTGCTGGATCTACGACAAAATCCGCTATATCAAGATGCGTTGTGTCGTAATCCAAAAGATCATTATCGGGGTCGTCATCGTTATCAACGTGATTAGTCTCGACCTCCTTCCCCTTTTTTTGCAGTGAGGCTTGATAAAGATCGGCTAGGTGTTTGGCTGTTCTGCAGGTATTGGCCCAATGACCTTCAATGTCACACCGATTACAACTGCCGATTTGCCTTTTTCCCTGTTTAGCCTTTTCGGCTATATTCCCATATTGGGGTTTACTCTGCATCCTGTTAATGTCAAAACTGCGGCGATTGTAAGGGGTATATCGACCGCGTTGACTCTCACGACCGCGACCACGGCCTCTACCATGTCCTCGGCCTCGTTTAGAAAATGTCACGTTCGCTTCAGGGAACGGACTGGAACCAGTAGGCCGGGACTGATGATTTTTCATCAGTAATTCATTATTTTGCTCAGCTAATAAAAGACATGCAATGAGCTGTGAGTACTTTTGAAAATTTTTCTCACGATATTGTTGTTGCAGCACAACATTAGAAGCATGAAAGGTAGAGAGAGTCTTCTCTAATTTATCATTCTCAGTAACATTTTCTCCGTAGAGTTTCAACTGAGATGTAATCTGATGAATAGCAGAGTTATACTCTGTAACAGTTTTAAAATCCTACAACCGCAGGTTAAGCCAATCATGTCGGGCTTTGGGGAGAGTGATATATTTCAAGTGTCCAAACCTCTCCCTCAATTCATTCCACAAATCAAGTGGATCTTTCACCGTCAAATATTTAGACTGTAGAGGAATGTCCAAATGATGACGGATGAAAATAATAGCCTTAGCCCGATCTTGGCTTGTAGCCGTATTTTCACTGGCAATTGTATGAACAAGGCCCATAGAAACCAGATGCATTTCTACATCCAGGGACCAAGTCAGAAAATTATTGCCGGTGAGAGAAAGAGGTTTAAAAGAAAATTTTGCAAGATTTTTCATAATTTAGAAAATAGGTAATATGGATAGTATAAATATAAAACTTACCAAAAATAAAATAGACAAGAGTCTCGTGCTGATAACGTGTTATATAATAATAATGTTGGTAAGTATATTTATATATAAATATATCAATGTATGTAATACAATATAATATAATATTAGTAATGCAAAATTCTTAAAGCAAGGAAGACAAAACTTAATGTAGAATGAATTGGTGGTGATCTTCTCATTTCATTTCATATAGGTATTTATAGGCGACGATATGTCAAACAATTGATACAGAAGCATCCACGCCTACGCTACGAAATATACACGTAGCTACTACGTTTACAATAATGATATAATTATCCGGACAAAGAAAATATATATACTTTGAACTATAAAACCTATGATATTTTTATTTTTTACTTTAAATACATTATCTTATTTCATAAATATCATATTGATATATATATATTAATTTTTTGATATATTTTATACTATATCGAAAATTAATATATCGAAATTAACAATATACCACAAAATTATTGAAATATTTTTAGAAAAAAATAACTAAAAATCTTGAAAATGATTATAGTTATAAATAACAGTATAAAATAACCCTTTTATTTAATTTTTATATTTAATTATTATTATATTTTTTGATATTTTTCTATATATTTAGATATACTGTTTAATTTTGATATTTAATTATTATTATTGTTTAAATATTTTAGATATACAAACATTGATACATACTAGTATGATAATATATAATAAATTTCGGTATGATATCAGTGTATCATACTATCCAATACAATAATTTTGTTTACTGTTTTTGTCCGTCCTAAAACAATAGTTTTATTTACATAAATAACCACATCACTATATAACTATCCTTACTCTTTTATTATTATTACACAATTATCACTCAGAATCTAGAGGGGATACAGGAAAAGAATAGCCTTGAAAGCCTCTTGATGGAAGTATCTGTCTACATTTTACACTAATACGACAAAAATGTCTTTTACCTGTATTTTTTATCACTATCAATATAATATCCATATTTCTTAAATCTCATGTCCAATACAACTAAGACTATAGTTCCGAAACGAAGGGAGTAAAATTTTATATTTTTATCCTCGTATCAAAATTATAATTTATCAAAAATATATTACTTTCAATTTTTTTGGATATAATATGATCGGTATATCTATTTTTTTAATATTTTTAATGGTAATGTATTTATAAGAAGTCCTTATGTTTAGAAAAAAAATATAAGTATAAATTATAAAAAATTATTGATATATTGCATAAAAGAATAATTTAAGTAAAGTAAAATTTTCATTTATAATAAATAAATATTTATAAAATAAAATAGAAACCCTAACCCGCACACACCGCCGCCCCTTCCTCTCTACTCCCTCATTTTTCCATCTTCCTTTTAGTTCTTCCTTCATTTCTATTTATTCCCTTTTTTTCACTTCCTTCTCTTCGTCTACCCTCCGCCGCCGCCGAAGATCCGCCGCTGCCTCCCGATCAAATCTCCGGTTTGTTTGTTTATTTTTTTCCTCTCGTTCTTTGTTTATCTTCTTGTTCTCCTTCTGCTCCGGTGATTCCTCCATTGATCAAGGAATTCTGTTGTGATTTAGCCTGTTGATTCTGTGGAACGATGAATAGTGAAAAAAAATAAAAAATCCAAGAATAGACTTGGAATTTTGAAAAAAAAAAGAAGTAAAAGTTTAGCATTTGATTTAATGTTTTATGCCAAAACAAAAAGTATATTTGATGGGATGTGTTTCAGAAAATGACCAGTGCTAAATTCAGACAAGGTTGATTATGTAAACGGTTTTGAATGTTTAATCGTACGATGTGAACAGTGAGATTTGGATTTTCTCATTTTATTTTCTTATTCTTTTCTACTGCTATTTGGCCTGTTGATTATGTGGTTCTATAATTTCTCTATTTTCGATTCAGATTGTTTGCTTGATTCGCTTTATTTTGGAAGTTTCGAAAGGTTGTGAATTAGCTGCCGAAAAAAAATTCATTAATTTCTACTGATGTTGCTTGGTGTTGTGTTTCGAAACGTCTAATTTTTGTTTTGAAACGCCTAATTGATTTTGATTATTGGCGCATATTCGATTTGTAGTATACGCATGCAATCTCCATTTCTGTACTGATTTATATCTGTCATGTCTGGTTTGATGCAGTTCTGGTTGAAGGATCTTTGATCGATTACAGATAATGGCTGGGTATGTCAGATTTTAACTTCTTACTCGTAGAAATTGAAATTGAAATTTAATCTGTATATATTGCTTTGCGAATTACTGTGATTTTTCTATGAATTCTGATATAATTTCCTGTGATAAAAGTTCATTGCCTCCAAATTCAAACACTTCCATCTATTAATCTTGATCGATGATTTTGCAGTGAAGAACCTGTAGCTGTGGAGGCTGCTTCTGCCCCTGTTCTTGGTGAGCCAATGGATATAATGACTGCCTTACAGCTTGTGCTCAAAAAGTCACTGGCCCATGGAGGTCTTGTTCGAGGCCTTCACGAGGGTGCAAAAGCGATTGAGAAGCATGCTGCGCAGCTGTGTGTGTTAGCAGACGATTGCAACCAAGCGGACTATGTTAAACTGGTTAAAGCACTGTGTGCCGACCACAATGTGAACCTAGTAACTGTTCCAAGTGCAAAGACTCTTGGGGAATGGGCTGGTGTACGTGCTCTCTGATTTCTATGTAATCTTGAAGTGATAATGATATTATGCGTGCCGTATTGTTCTGTATCTGTTTGATTTGGCCCCCTGGACAACAATGGTGATGACGGACGGATCATCTTGAGCCAGTTGTCTTTGTGTTATAGGATGTGTTGAGATATTATTTGATTGTAGTGTTGAATGGTGATTTTGCAGCTGTGCAAGATTGATTCTGAAGGAAAGGCTAGGAAGGTTGTTGGAGCCTCCTGCGTTGTCGTGAAGGTAGTAATCAAACTCCTTGTTTTTTTTTTTATTTTCTTGTTGAACAGCTACTGCCTGACAGTGATTAACAATATCCCTACATTGAATTTTCTCTTGTAGGATTTTGGAGAGGAAAGCGAAGGCCTCCACATTGTTCAGGAGTACGTGAAATCTCACTGAGAGGCAGTCGACTCAAATGCTATGAAACGGTGCTCGAAGGAAAGTGCAAGCATTGGAAACCCTTCCATTCAGTATGCTTTAGATAATTAATTGTTTTATTTAGACAGTTTTGATTTATTTATGTAATTCAGTGCCATTTGATCTAATTAGGGTTGTTTCGATTAATGCCATTTGAATCTTTTACTCCCTAATTTGATAGACATTTCTTCAAGTTGTGGCTATTACCTCTTTTTATTAGTTGCTGACTTTGTAATCCCTCTAAGATTTAAAGATTTCAGCCATTTTTGGAACATGAGCTAAAGCGATTTCTTGGGTGGTAAATGAAGGAAAATAAACCATAGATTCGATTCGATTTGCGGGAAATGAAAGAAAGCCACTGGATGGGAGAGCTTTACACAGGGTAAGAATTTCATTATTGGTGATTAATGATTTTGAGTTCCTTTTCTTGTGACATTGAATTGACATTTTTGCTAATCGATATTAATATTGTTGTGCAACACCCAAAATATAATTGCAGAAACATAGTTGATCAAACATTTTCAAAATTTTCAACTTTAAATCTTCATTTTTATCTTCAAATTTATTTATTTATTTAAATAAATAAATACATCTTTTCCTTTTTAACAATCTAACCTGTGAAATTTTACCTCTGTCTGTCATGATTGTGGTATGGTATTCTCGGTCAATGATGTTTGCTTGTTTTGTGTTTTAGTTTGAATCAAATTATTTTAATGTAAAATATAAAAAATATTAAAATATTATAAAAACAATAAGCATATAATATATTAATTTTTTTTTTTTAAAAAAAATATATGTTAGATATTTTTATTTTTTTTTGTTGTAAGAACACCTTCCAAGGTGTCAAATTTAATGACCTTTTTCTGGGTAAATATTTTGATGGTATGACTTAATCCATTTCGTGAAAGTAATATGCAATCATGATAATAAAATAATAAAAGTAATACTATTGTTTGGATGATGGTGGATATATTTTTTTAATCACATAAACCACTCAATGTTAGAATACCGAAGATTTGGTGGAAACTTGTGCGAGCTCGGTTCAATTTTACAACATTGTTTTAAAGTATATTTACACGAGTTATTTATTTTTTATTGTGAATTAATAAATTTGTCTTTAATTATACGATAGAGATTAAAACTAGTAAATGAATGAAGAATAAAAAAATAAAATTTGTATTTAAAAAGTGAAATAGGACAATAGTTGTTGGATTTTCAATAAGATATTAGTTTGTGGATGGAGAGAGCAATTCAATTCAGGGTAAATGCTTGAGTGATTCGTAGTTTTGGCAAATTTCACAAGTTTTGACATATTTGATGCAAATCGTAGTTTTGGCAAATTTCACAAGTTTTGACATATTTGATGCAAATCATATGCTTTTTCTGTCCCGGTGCAAGGTTACTGTTTACTTTTTGCACGTAAATTTTTTAATATTAGTATTATAATGGGTTGTAGTGAAAAGGACGAAAATGTCCATATTAGTATTGTGTAATATAAAAATAATGATATTTGTGTAATATAGTATAAGTTCGAAGGGTATTTATTATGTTATGTAGGTAGTATAATTATAAAAAATGATAATCTTTCAGCGAGTCGGAGTGAATATATATATATATATATATATTACTACTTGTTGAATCAAGGCCTTAGACCCAAGATAAGAGATGTTCTATCGAATTGTTTGGTCATTGCATCTAATTGTAAGCATAATTTAATGTTTTGTCCTTCGGGTCCAATTAGTATGATCCCTAAATCTAATTATTTCATCTGTCCTACCTACTATGTCCATATTGTTATTTATGTCCATTATTTAATGTCATTTTAAATTTTTTAATTTATTTTTTTTAAATTTTAATTAAACCAATTAGTTATCTTTATCTTAATATTATATGATAATTATTTTCACTAATATATTTTTAATTATATATTAATTATACTTATTTTAAATTCTCGTATCTACGGTGACCCAGACATCCAACGTGGAACGGAGGGAGTAATTCTTTGTACTTAACTTACATCCATCGAAAAATATGCTCTATTGTTTGATTTTCATAAAATCTTCTCGAGTCATTATTCGGATCAATGTGATCAACAAATAAATCGGCCGCTACTTGACATTTTATTGCTTTTTATCGGTCTATAAGTTAATAAGAAACGAGCTAGTTTAATTGCCTATTGTATTAACATTTCTTGCACATTGGGTCAATGTAATATGAGCTTGATCAAATTTATTTTAGAAATCACTTCGGTTTTTCTTGCTATTCATTATATTTTCTGTTTTGTTGGTATCAATCTTGATTCATCTTTTGTGTACTAGCCGAAAAAATTTCATTCAATACTCTAGGTTAGGGTGTGTTTGTTTTGGGGATTTCCCCAAATCTACTGTACTAAAGTTTATTTTACATTCAAAACAGTACATCAGTATCTATTCATATTACCCTTATTGAGGTTCATCTCCAAGTTGTATGCTCGCATTTCAAATCGGCCAAATGTTCTTCAAATCCTGTAAATTTGACTATCACATCATTTGTATATTTTCATTCTTTGACCGATTAAATCATGAAAAATAATATTTATTGCTCAATTTTCAAGTTGAATGAAATCACTGTCCACTAGATGCAATTTTGGATATATCTTTTTTCGCTAAAAATATTTAATTATAGGCATCAATAAGGACAATATTTTATATCTTGTCGAAGCAATTAACATATCACTGTTCTGTAACATAAATGCAACTTTATTCCTAATTTCGTTTTTAATGTTATTAGTAATAGAAAAAGTGAAATTAGAGGGAAAAAAATAATAATAATTCATTACAAAAATGATTCTTTTTAGTGGTAATTTGGAAAGAAGGCCATTCAACAGAGCTATTACACTTATTAGAATAAGTATCCTTAATTTATTTACTTTTTTTACTTTTTATTTATATATATATTTTTTTTATTTTATTTTTTACTTTTTATTTATTTATATATATATATTTTATGCCACACACATCATGCATTTCACGATAATTGAATATTTAATCTTAAACATGTCAAGAAGCACAAGCAAATATTAATAGTTTGGTGAGCTTGCAACTTTGCCATAAATAAATATTCACTTAATTGTATATGGATGCTCTAAAATACATACACAGTTATATATATATATATATACACAATATTCTTTCCCCATATTTTTACTTGGTTTAAATTGAAAACTTTTTAATTAAAAATAAATAAAAAAAGTTTTTGACTTTTAACGTGGAATATTTTGAATATATATGATAAATGAAATATCTTAATTATAATATTAAGTACATATTAGAAAAACACAAAAAAGCAATGGATTCCAATTTATATAGGCATTGTTTCTCCATTGCAAACAACAATTAATAAATAATGAACACATATTGCATTTGCATGCCTGGATCTCACCAACAATTTATAATAATAATACTGTCACCTTCAGACAGCTGCTGCTAATTATGTTCTGCGTCTGTCTCTGTCTGCACTAATTATTCTTGTTGGAGGTTTCAATCCATATCTTTTATTATTAGATTTCCCCCCTAAATATGAGTTTTATTATTATTTTGAAGATATATATTTTAGCCATATTATACTCCCGACCCAAACATCTTGCAATATTTTTTTTTGGTATGTTCCAAACATCTTATAATATTTTTAAAATAGAAAATAATTAATTATACTTAATCTCTATTCTACACTTTATACCCTCACATCATCCGAATAAAAAAATAAACTATATATTTCTCTCTCCATCACATCACCTAATTTCTAAATTATCCTATTTAATACTATCCACCTAAAAATCCGTGCCAAAAGCAAATGTTACACCTTGTTTGAGACGGAGGGAGTATATAATTTCATTTGATTTAATTATTGTAACCTAATTATAATTTTACAACAACTCATTGATATAGATGATTATTATTTCTATGGTCCTTTTCTAATATCTCACAATTATCGACAAATTATAATGATTCTGATATTCGTAGTTAGAATTTTAAAATTGTACAAAATATATTTTCACTAAGTGTGATTTCATTTGAATAATAAAAATGATATAAATTAATAAAATGAACAAGAAATGAAAATTAAATTAATAATTTGAATTTGTAAATCCCCAAAAAAAAAAAAAAAAAGGAACATGTAATATCATACAGCACACTTGTTACATGTTGCAATTCAATTTAAATACTTACCTATAATTCTCTGTAATACTATTACACCTTTTAATTTTTGTATGTATCTATCCACATATATACTCTTCCAACTATAAATACCAACAAGTGTTTTTGTTCTAATTAAAGAATTCACTCTAATTTTACTCTTTATTTTTTTATTTTTTTTTAAAAAAATAGTTAAATTATAACCTTATCCTTAAGGCTAGAGCTGTTAAATGAACCGAGTCGTTCATAAACTCAGCTTGGTTCGGCTCGATTAAAGCTTGTTCGTGAACGTTAACGAGCCAAGTCGAACAACATAAACAGACTCGTTTGGTTAACAAACGAGCTCGAACGAATTCAAACGAGCTTAATTGAGCCTAAACGAGTCGAACACGAACACGAGTTCAAACAACAAAAATTATTAACGAGCCGAGCTCGAACACTACGAACGAGCTCGAAAGCTTAACGAACGAACACGAGTCTTATTCGCGAATGTTAACGAACACTTAAAATTTGGCTAAACTCGGATCGGCTCTACTTAAGGTCTTTAGAGCAATTTCAATGGCCTTCACAAGATTGGTACGTACTAATTTATAAGCTAGCTATGCACACACACATCACTCCAAAGCTTGCTACATTTTTCATCTCTCTCTCTATACAAATTAATTAGAAAATCATTACGGGTGTGTTTACTTGTAAGATTATGGTTTTTTATTTTGGTTTTGAATAGTAAAATTTTGAATTGAAATAGTTGTTTAATATGATATAAATATGTATTTGATGTGATGTTTTGAATGTAAAATTAGATTTTAGTGTAATAAAATAAACAAAATATAAGTGTTTGATTTGATGTTTTTAGAGGGAAAAGAAAATTGAAATAGTAAAATCATGAATAAAATTAGAGGTTTGAATTTTGGTTTGAAAGAATTTGAATAGTTATATGATGTTAATATAAATAAGTATTGATGTGATGGTTTAAATATAAAATTAATTTTTATTATAATATAAAAAGTGAAAAATAGATTTTTGATTTGATATTTTTGATAATTTTTTTTTTTTGATGAATAGTAAAAATTTTGTAAATGAATACACCCTGAAAG